GGCTACTAGGGGCTCCTGGCCTTACTACTAGGAGCAAGGACGCTACTCGGGGCAATGGCCTCCAACCTACTAGCGATGGCCTCCTCTTGTTGTGAGGTAAGTAGCGCTCTGGAGAAAGAGTTTCTCGACTTGACGGTTCGACTTGAGTGGAAGACCTTGCTTGGAAGACCCAAAAGGTGAGTTAGATCAGTGAGCACTTCCTGGGAGATGATGGCTCTTTGGTGTTCATGCAGCTGGGGGTTGTGCTATCGCCTGAATGAGAGACTGAAGATGTTTGTGGGTTCTACATTGGGTGGTGGGCACACAAGCAACTGCGTTCCCACCTGAAGAAATAAGAAAAAGGTTTCTTCGTTTGGCACATTTTCAGGGACCCATTGCGTGGTGAGGAATTCGCCATCACTCTGAAGCTATCATACGCAATCCAAGTGCCCAAAGGAGGACCAAATACACCACAACGACCCAAGGTGTACCACTGACCATTGGAGGCCATCGCTATTAGGTTGGTTGCCATTGCTAGTAGGTTGGAGGCCATCGCTTCTAGGTCGGAGGTCATTGCTTTTCATGTCTCCCCAATGATTTCGGGGGGATGTTTGCCTAGTGACCTAGTGCCAAGCACCGGTCAGGCGGATGTGATTTTCTCGGCCCAGATTCAACGCTTGAGATTCTACAGGCGCCACCGTGGTCGTTCAAAGAAGGTGTTTATTGGTGATGCAGTCTTTGGGAAAGAGGTGATGAGGCGACAAATCGGACCAGACAGGTGAAGCACCTTGTGACTTCAGGGAGATTCGGAACGTCATTCTACTAGTAACAAAGGGCATCGCTAGGAACGGAGCACCGACGCTACGAACGGGGCTCCTGGCATCGCTACTAGGAACAAGAAGCTACGAACGGAGCAAGTAGCTATTAGTTCTTGTCAGGTTCTTCTTTGAGAATCACATCTTCATCATTACGATGCTCTCTGTGCCGGAAGCCCCGTCTTCACGCCCCGTCCGATTGAAACTCCAGCTTGGGTGGAAAAGTGTCCGACGGTTTGATTGGACAACACGAGAGTCCTCTTTTAATACTCGAGGCGACTGATGGTTTTTTCTGGCTGGGAACTGACGAGAAGAAAACTTTGGTTATGTGTTGTTTGGAAGAGACTTCTGTAAAAAGTCAGCTTTCCGGAAGATGTTCCTATGAGATGTTCCCAATATCTCTTTGTGATTTCTCAGAAGAAACAGGTGGCTTTTTGTACCACAGTTGTAGATGGAGGACCGCGGTGACGGTTTAGCAGGGTTATGAGACCTTAACACCAAGCCAGTGTAGCGAAAAATCGATGTTTTGTGTTAACTTGAATGACTTGAATGGTAGAGTTGGCCCGGCGGAATGGATGCGCCAGACACGTTGGGTTTCGAAGGATTTCGAAGCCGCAGAGGTTTCTCATTGCCTTCATCTTCTTCTTGGTGAGGCGCGCGTCTTGGTCTTGCGAGCGCACCGACATCTCTGGAGCTGGAATTTCACGGTGGGCTTTGGACGCGACGAACGGAGAAAAAGGGCCTCGCGACGAACGGAGCGATCGGACGCTACGAGTAAGGGGATAGGAACTGGATCTGTTGCGCTTTGCACTTCGACCCCGCCAACGGTCGATGTCCTCGTTGCACGTCCGGTGCCGTCGTCAAGGCCTCGAGACCAGGGCAGCATCACGTTCAGTGCACCGGACCAGAAGCTGCTGGGCTGAGAGTGGCTCTCGCTCTCGCTGTCGAGACGAACGAATGGAAGCTTCACTGGAACATCGTCGACGGGTCTGAGAACATGTAGAGCGAAAATGTCGTGTGTTGATCCGGTTCCATTTCATCTCGAATGAGACGAATGTATGGAATAGTCGTAGGTGCCGGGACGTTTTCTGGTGGTTTTTTGTGTCAGGCAATGTGCAGTGACTTGCTGATTCCACGGACCGCTTGGAAAGGGGCTTCATCAACGAGGAATGCTTGTGAGATGGTTCACCCAGCCTCCCCAGAACAAGCTTGGCATTTTCAGTTCTCACAGATTTCCCTCGGCTTCTGGCTTCCTTAATAAGAGGAACCTAGAAGATGAAGCTGACAAAAATCATACCCAGTTCTAGATTCTAGATGGTTTCTATCTCGTGCCCAGGTTGCTTTTCCTTTTGTTTGCCCGTCGTTCCCACGTCGTGAACGCTCCACGTCGTGTTCGCTCCACGTCGTGTTGGGACGTCCCAGGTTGGTCTCCCTGGCGGATGCCGCCAAGGCGGGCGACAAGTGCTGAGGACCGGGGCGACACGCTTCGTGGCGCAGCGTTTTTCGGCCAGTTCGGGAGGCAGGAAAAGGCAGTCATACGCAGTCATAGGGAGGTAGCCAAGTCGGGCCGGATCACATTCTGATGGGTCATCCATCTTGTGGGTGTTTGTTTTGCAGGAAAGCCCCTCATGTTCTGTGGAGGATCCTTGCGCAAATCGGATCCACTGCTTCGAAAGAGATGTCGGTGACAAAAGCAACTGGTGCCGGTCACATCCTCGCTTGGTATTCACTGGACTTCCCATCATAGAAAAGGGTTGACAGGATGAAGACGAGCACGACAGGATATCGGATAACCCTAATATGTGTTTAAAGCTAAATTGAGACAAAGATCGATCCTTGATCCTTGATCCTTTGATCCATCGAATGATCGGCGCTCCACGAGTCCACAAGGAGCGATGGCTCGCCTGCTGTTTCTTTGTACAGCCAATCCATACGGAGCGTGGACCATCGGAAGCCCAAGCAACACGAGTCGATCTTTGGTCGTTTTCGTCAGTCAGTCTTAAGTCTTGCGGCAAGCAATATGTTCTGGTTCTTTGGGGTGATAGGCACCCCCACATGACCCACCCCAAACGAAAACTGTGTTCTTCTTCTAGGCGAACTTTGGGGTTAGGGTAGTGACTTAGTGCAAAACAAGAGTCACAAGGGCGCCAAAGAACTAGGATGAAGTGTCCCTGGAGGCCATCGCTAGTAGCTTGAAGACCACAATCAGGATGAAGTGTCCCTAGTAGCGTCCTTGCTCCTAGTAGTAAGGCCAGGAGCCCCTAGTAGCTTCTAGTAGCGAGGCCAGGAGCCCCTAGTAGCGTCCTTGCTCCTAGTAGTAAGGCCAGGAGCCCCTAGTAGCTTCTTGTTACTAGTAGTAAGAATGCTCCTAGTAGCGAGGCCAGGAGCCCCTAGTAGCGTCCTTGCTCCTAGTAGTAAGGCCAGGAGCCCCTAGTAGCGTCCTTGCTCCTAATTGTCCCCCACCCAACTTGCTTCTTTCAGTGGACCTGCCACACGACGTGAGTTCTGAGCCAAACATGGGCGGGTCTTTCGTAGTGGGCCTTCCATCCCAGATGGCCTCCGGTCCTGCCCTTTATCCGGACCGGACATGTTGTCTTCACTCAGACTTGGTCAACAGGATCATTTGCACAAGACCGGGAGTACGAAGAGAACAGATGTGCTACCTTGTACTGTTCATCTCGTTTTGTACAGTTCTCAGGAATTGTGTTGACAGAACAAAACGAAGCGGTACCCACGGGCGATCTCCACGCTGTTCACTGTACAGACCGGGTGCCCTCGAGAAAAGAGTTGCCGCTTGCTTCGCGTCTGGCTTTGGCGACCGAAACGGCTGGTGGTCGCGAAAGGAGCTTGCTGTTCAGAATCATTCGGGCTGCTCCTTGCTGTTCACTCCACCTTTGATTTTTCGTGGTCCCCTTTCTGGACCAACATCACTGCGAGGGATGCCAGGGAAGTCTGGTCGCAAGCCTGTAGAACCTGGATGCCAGGCTTCGCCACTTCACAACGGATGTGGGGCCTGCAGGATGGGAACCGCCCAGCGACCGCGGCGCCTTCTTCGGGTTTTTGAGCTTGCGTGGGTACGGAAAAGCGTCGAGAGGGTGCAGTATGTACTGAGTATTGTAAGTCGGGTCGGGTTGGGTGTGTTGCTGGACTCATCATACATACATAGAGTACAACTAGTTGCCTGCAACCAGAGGGTATGATTCATAAGCATGCAGCATGCTTCAACAACGGTACCTGAGATGCGGGAAAGGAACGGAGGGGGGCCCCGACGAGGGAACGGCACATGTGGGCAGCATCCTGGACACTCAAACCCATTCGTTTCGACAGCAACGGGAAACTCACCATCAACCTCATCGAGCCCGAACCTCTTGGGAAGTTGGACCGTATTTGGGGTCACTTGGTGCGTCACTTGGTGCGTCACTTGGTGCGTCACTTGGTGCGTCACTGGGTTGCTGCGGCCCACGGCGTCGGGAAACGCATGGCTTTCTCCTCGCCCCAGGAGTTTCTGTCGGAGCTGGGCCTCTCGGACTACGAGGCGAAGCTCCTCCCGAGTGCCTCGTAACGAGGTTCGCTACTAGGGGCTCCTGGCCTCGCTACTAGGAGAAAGGGCCTTACTACTAGTAACAAGAAGAAAGTAATTAGAATTGAAAGCAATTAAGTTTAATTGGATTTAAAAGGAATCTACTAGGACCTTTTCGCGCGCGGGGGGGGTAGGAACAAGAAGCTACTAGTAACAAAGGAGCAAGGACGCTACGAACGTAGCGATGCCCTTTGTTACTAGTAGCTAAGGTGGTGCCAAGATAGAATTTGAAGGTGACTTTGAACCTTCAATGGATGTTCAACTCTAAGAAGAGGGTGTTGGAGGGATTGGATCCGTGAGGATTTTTCTCGCGGTCAGCTCTTCCACGCTGTTCTGACCCAAGCTTGAAAACAGCGGAAACAAAGGAAAGGCTCTCAAAAAGAAGCTGCTTTTTTTCAAGCCATCGTTTCATTCACTTGGATTCCATCCCAGTTGATGTCCCAGGAGGCTGCCTTGACATGGGCAAAGCAAATGGGGGCTGTCTTCTTGGAGGTAAGATGGGTCCGGGGAAGTGAAGGACAACCCGCCAGGGGCCAGTAGAAACAAGAAGCTACTAGGAACAAGTGCATCGCTTCTAGTAACAAGTGCCTTACTAGTAGTAACAAGAAGCTATTAGAAACAA